CCCCCATGACCCCCTCCTCTGGATCCGCCCTTGGCTCTATGTGTGTATAATGAGGAAGTTCTTCGCTCGGATTGGATACTTCTGTGCCTATAAAAAGTATATATAAATCGGTGCAAAATGAGGCTAAAATAGCAGAAAGTATAAACACTGGTGTTTAAGAACTAGAAGATCAAACTTCTGGGGAATGCTCGATAGAAGACATTTGAGTAGAAGACCCCATGTCCGGATATATTTCGTTAAGACGCTATAGCTTCGGTTTAAGAACGTTTTGAACTAAATCATTCTTTCGATTTTGGAGACTAAAAATCCGCCTAAACTGCGCTTTGGTTGAAAGACTGTTGGTTTGAACAGTGAATCATCTGCTTTTTACTGCCGGAAAGGCAAGTCTCTAGCGACTTTGTTTGATTTTATGAAAAATCCGCCTGCACCCCGTTTAGATTGAAATTCGGCCCATTTCTAGCCACTGCTTTGGTTAGAACTGGACAAAATTTCAAGTGGCTGGTTGTTCCGGTTTGGACGTGAAACATTTTTGAAAATAGATCAACTTGAAAGTGCAAGTCAGGCTCAACGTCAAGTTTGCTAATTCCCGCATAAACAGCCTGCAGTTTGTTTTTTTTTATAAAAATTACAAGCTCAATAAATCATGATTTTGATCAAAACGGACTGAAAGCGTCATAATGCCTTGTATAGAAGAAGCAGAATGTTAACACTTCTTGAGAAAAGCGAACCAAACATCAGCAAACAGCGTCTACATAACACATGAGGATTTAAAAGTACCAAATTAATGCAAAGTTTAGTAAACATCTGACGTTTTTATAAGAAGGTTGCCAGCAAAATACCATAACAGGAATTTACTTGTCATGCATCCAAGAATTTGCTTTAAAGAGTAGACGGGTACTAAATATTATTCAAATATCTTGACCTCTTTTTAGGAAATGATCTACTCAATCTGAAATCACATACTTGCACATCGTTTATGTGAACGAGGTCTCATTTAGATCATCATTCCTCAAATAAACTAAACACATAATTTTCAGCAGACAAAATCAATCGGTTAATCGACACTTGGCACCTCCACCCTTATTTTTTTTACCAAAAAAATCCCTTTGATCACAAGACGAAGCCGTAATTCATCTAGTAAGGCCTATAATTTGCTTGGTGGCCGGACGAGATTATGGTTGTGAAATTAGAAACAGCTACTGACCGCAGTTGAAAATTACAAAAACCACAAGCCACTTATTAAAACCTATACGCTGAATAAACATATCGATTCAGGTGCCTTTTGTCAGACTTATATTGGTTTTTAAATTGTCCGTTTTCTGCTACCTGGTAATTGCATATTAACACTTCGTCCTGTGAACCCGACTTTCGGCCAGATTACAGGTTCGAGATGATTATGCGGTCGGATGGGCAATCAAGTCCGATGTGTGTAGGGAAATTTGTAAAATTCTGCCTTCAGTACTCTATTCGAATCGAAGCAATTACATCTAAATGCAGAATTAATAGTGGAAGAAATTGAAGAGCCAGCAGGCAATGTAATGGACAGGCCGTAGAAAAGAAAAGTAATTTTCAAAGTGAAAGAGTCCATGTTGCTTGAGACTAAACGCAGCCTTAAGAGCGCTTAAGTATTTTGCAGAGATTAACTGCCTCATTCATGTACTAACAATAAATTGGCAATAGATAATGTAATTACACGTTTCTTTCTGCTATTAGAGGCGATTTATTCTACGTGGGTGTGTCAATTGTAAACGGGCACGATACATACGATATATCTTTAACCATATTTTACTTCCCTTTTGAGAAGTTGCAACAACTAATCCGGTCCGGTAAAAACCTGAAGACGGACTATGTCTCATTGATTGTGTCGGTAAACATACAAAATCGAAAATGTTCCAAATCACTTAAGTACCTTGAGCAAAGCGTAGGAGAGCAGCCGCGCGCCCATTCTTTATTTACGGCCGTTGAAAGTCCGCATACCACTTCCTCTAGCCCATAAATTCAAATTCAATCTCTATATTTATATACTGCTGGTATCGTTAAACGTCATTTTTTAGACCTAGATTGTCCGGCACGCCGTAAATTTTCATC